TCTGTGCTGACTGCCAGCTCAGAGCCTGGAGCCTATTTCAGAGTCTGTATCTCCCTCTCTCTCTGACCCTCCCCTGCTCACACTGTCTCTCTCTCTCTCTCTCCTAGAAATAAATAAAAATATCTTTAAAAAATTAAAAAAAAATTTTAAAACAAGTTTAAGAAAAACTGGAAAAAATTTCCCTTTATAGAAGGGGGTCAGACTAGATCCGTAGTTTTCAAACCTCTTTAAGGAGCAGAACTGGGTTTTTAAATAGTCATGTCTGAAGCCCACAGTTAAAAGGGCTCTGGTGGAAGCTGGGTGAGGGCTCAGAGCCCAGCCGGCTCCATCTGCCCCCACCCCCACAGCTGGTACCCCACACACCACTCAGCCCCCCTGATCACTCCCCTAACTTCCACCGTGACTCCTGAAGCAGCTCAGCAGACACCCAGGGCTCTGGGGAAGAAAATCTAAAGAGAACTTAGATCATTTTGGATCTTATTATATACTTAATAATGCCATATATGTAAATGACCACAAATTCATAGAACACAAAAGTGCATAAAACTACAAGTCTCAAGACTCCCCTGACCCAGACTAATAAAAAATTTTTAACGTGAGGGCCACTGGAGTAGTTCAGCCAGTTAAGTGTCTGACTCTTGGTTTTAGCTCAGATCACAATCTCACGGATTCATGCATTGAAGTCCCACCTCAGGCTCTCCCCACTTGGGATTCTCCCTCTCTCTCGCTCTGCCCCTCCCTGCTGGCTCTCTCTCAAAATAAATAAATAAACTTAAAAAAATTGTTTTTAGGGGCGCCTGGGTGGCTCAGTCGGTTAAGCGTCCGACTTCGGCTCAGGTCATGATCTCATGGTGGGTGGGTTTGAGCCCCGCGTCGGGCTCTGTGCTGACTGCCAGCTCAGAGCCTGGAGCCTATTTCAGAGTCTGTATCTCCCTCTCTCTCTGACCCTCCCCTACTCACGCTATCTCTTTCTCTCAGAAATAAATAAAACATTTTTAAAAAAAATTGTTTTTAAACTTGAGCTCTCTGGTCCTATCCATGAATAAATGCAGAAGGCCATTCTTAGTCTAACCAGAGTTGATGAATGGAAATGACTTGCCCAAGGCCTCACTGGGAGAAGCATCCGGTTCCTAGAGCCTAATGACACTGCTGCTGAGGTCCTCGCCCGCTCTGCAGTCCAGCCCTGATGTCCTAGCTCTAACGTTCCCTCTGCTCTCCTTCCCCAGGTCCCCCTCAGAATCCTCTCAGACCCTGCTTAGCATCTACTAAGCTCTAGATGCTGCCCTCTCCCAGGAAACTCACCGGGGCTGTGGAAGATCTGAGAGAATGAGGTGAAGCCTTTGGATGTGAAGGCCTTCAGGGCCTGGTGGACACAGGTAAAGTCCTCGGGGTAGTAAAGGAGGCTCTCCAAGTTTCTCTTGGTGCTGTCCCCAGCGCCTACAACAAAGGGCAGAAATGAGGGAAAGCTGTAAGAATGGGGGACCCACCATTCAGGACTAGGATTGAAGGATCAGGCTCGAATTGGGGAGGAGGACGTTATTTCTTGCTGTGAAGGGGATCTCAAATCATCGGAGTGGGAATGATTGTTTCGGAAGTCAATTCTTATGTCAAAAAGACTGGGGTGGGGGAATTAGGAATAATCATGGATAAGCTTTTCCAGGGCTTTGAATATTCTCCTTCATTTTTCTAACTATTGTAATCCCACACATCATCGAAAGTCTAGTCCAGTCACTGACTGTTCCACACAAACTATTATCTAGTTGGTTTGGGTTTACAAAGGTTTACCCTATAGGGGCACCTGGGTGGCTCAGTCAGTTGAGTGTCCGACTTCGGCTCAGGTCATGATCTCACAGTTCGTGAGTTGGAGCCCCGTGTCGGGCTCTGTGCTGGCAGCTCAGAGCCTGGAGCCTGCTTGGGATTCTGTGTCTCCCTCTCTCTCTGCCCCTCCCCCATTTGCTCTCTGTCTCTTTCTCTCAAAATAAAGACACAAAAAAAATTTTTTTTAAAAAAACAACGGTTTTCCCTATAGGCAGGGACACTAGCTCACTTGTAAGAGGAGACACCAGAGAGAATCACAAAAGAGCATAGATGTTCAGGGGCACCTGGGTGGCCCAGTCGACTAAGCATCTGACTCTTGATTTCAGCTCAGGTCATGATCTCATGGTCCATGGGTTCAAGCCCCGAGTCAGGTTCTGTGCCAACCGTGTGGAGCCTGCTTCGGATTCTCTCTTGCTGCCCCTCCCCTGCTCCCGCTCTCTCTCTCTCTCTCTCAAAATAAACTTTAAAATTTTTTTAAAAAGCATAGATGTTCAATATCCTTTCAGTTATTCATTACTAAATGTTTATTGTGCCCCTCTTCTGTGCAGTAACAGATAAAATTCTGGGGCACTTATGTAGTTCCAAGCATCACAACTGCTTCTCCCATATTAGCTCACCGAATCTTCACAATAACCCTCTCACATAAGGGTAATTACTCTCCCTATTCACCAAAGAGGAAACTGAACTGTAAGAGATTAAGTGGTCTACTCTATTCAAGATCACAGAGTTAAGTGGACGATGGAGACAAGATTCAAGCCACACGTGCTGGGCGGTGAAGAAAATTTACCAAAACCAATCAACTGAAATGTGCCTCCTGGGGGACTTTGGGCAAGTTTAGTGGTCCCAGCTAGAGGGTGTAGGTAGAGGTTTATCTCATGAGACTTAGTAGCACCTCTCAGGAAGGCAGAGGATGAACATTTTTTTGACCTCCCTCTGAGCCAGGCACTAAGCTATCTGCTTTCTTTTTTGAAGTAAGTTCAACCACCTCCATTTCACACCTGAGGACTCAGGCTCAGAGAGGTTAAGGAGTCTGCCAAGGTCACACAGCCAGAAAGCACCATTAGCATGATTCTATTCTATGTCTATCAGTCATGGTTTCATCTTCCTTATTACCTTACCCTGAACCATTGCTGGTGACTGGGACCTTGTTTTATATGTTTCTGTATATTCCATTGGGTTTTATAAGCCATGGTGCCTATCAAATCACAGTGCCTATGAAGGAATAGATGAATGCTCAAGAATGAAAAGATTACCCTCCCCTCAAACGTATCCCATTTTTATAGCTTTCTCCTGGAGGCATAGCTTCATGGGCATCTGGGTTGGGGACCCCCATGGGAGGGTCCAATGTACAACTTGGAGAGAACTTTGTCAGGTTCTTACCAAGCAGGACCTGAGTTAGGAGGCTGGCAATGCTGAATGGAGAAAAGGCCATGTTGGTCTCCACCTTCTTCATCGCTGAGAAGGCATGGTAGAGCTTCACAGAGAAGTCCATCAAAGCCTCTCCCAACTTGGACTCTGCCGACTGACTCTCCAGGTCAGAGCAGGAAGTATCAGGCCCCAGACAGAAGGGTACAGTAGTGGGCTGGGTAGTGGGCTCAGTAGTGGGCTGGGTAGTGGGCTCGGTAGTGGGCTCGGTAGTGGGCTCGGTAGTGGGCTCAGTGGTAGGTTGAGTAGTGGACTGGATGAAGGGCTGAGTGGTGGGTTCAGAAGCAGTATTGGCTGTTTCGATGGTTGAGCTGATTTTCAACAAGGTGGAAGAGTCCTTGGTGCGCTGCTGAATGGATACCTCTGTGGAGATCTCTTCCTCCAAGATGTATTCTTCATGTTCTCCTTGCCAGCTCTCTGCCGTAGAGTTGGGGTTAGTATCATTCAGATCTGAGAAGGCTCTAACCTGTGGTTCAAGAAACTGAGTTTCACTTTTCCTGCCACGAAGTACAGTCCACTCAAACACTCAAAGCAGGAAGGGAAGGTGGGGCTATGGAAAACGTCCGATACCAGAGGATGATTCCTGGAAAAGCCTGGTGGGTTAGGGGCCTGCCCGAAGCTGCCAACCACTAGTTCTTCCAGAGAAGGGCAATGCAGGAGCCGGTGGGGGTTGGGGTGCAGGCAGAGATAATCTCCATAAAGGTAAGGAGAGGCAGAGACTCTGTTAACTCTGGGCAGTCACTCCCTTATGGGAAGTTGTTTCCCAAATTTTGGAGTTCAGTGTCAACTGCCATTTATCTCTGTTCTTGCAATTTCTTCTTCTTTTTTTCAATGTGTATTTATTTTTGAGAGAGAGACAGAGCACAAGCAGGGGAGGATCAGAGAGAGAGGGAGTCGCAGAATCTGAAGCAGTCTCCAGGCTCTGAGCTGTCAGCACAGAGCCCGAATTGGGACTAAGACCGTGAGATCATGACCTGAGCCGAAGTCCATGCTTAACTGACTGAGCCACCCAGGCGCCCCTCTTGCAATTTCCTTTAGGTATATCGGCCTGGTTTGGCTCACCTGCCAGGCCGATATAAGATATTTGAGCTTGTGATCTTTGCGTGAGAACTGTGGTTTTTCAAATGGTGACTTGTGAGCCATTGCAATAGTGCATGTTGAAAACCAACAGCATTCCAAAAGAAAGAAAGGAAGGTGGAAGAAATAGTATAGACCAGTGGCTCTCAGTCAGAGACAGTTTTAATCCCTGGGGACTTTTGGCAATGTCTGGAGGCAGTTTTGGTTATCTTAAGGGAGGGAAGGGGATTGGGGGTAGATGCTATTGGCATCTAGTGGGTTGAAACTGGGGATACTGCAAAACATCCTTCCGTCCACAGGACAGTCCCTCATACGGAATTATCCAGCCCCAAATGTCATGGCTATTCTCCCATTTCACTGATAAAGGAAACTGATGCTGAGATATTCAGTAACTAACCCAGGGTCTCACAGGAGCTGATGATTCAGACTCTGATTCTAGATCCCTCGCTCATCACAGGGCAGCACCTGCAGATTCACTTCCCAGGCCAACTTCCACACACTTTCATCCACGCACAGACGCGCAAAGCAAGAGCCCACCTTCCTCCCGACGCCCACACCGCTGGGACCTCTGGCCGCGATCGGCCCCCACCCAAACCCCCGGAGTGTCAGCCGCCTCTCCGCGCGTTTTCGTGCCCGCAGCCCCGAAAGAACCAGGGTCTCAGCAGCCAGGGCCCCACCCCCCACAGCCCGTCGCCTTTAGATCGCAGAATGCTGTCCATCTCCTGACTCTCTGACCCTTCCGCTCTATTCTCCACGTTATAAACCAGCACAGGTGGGCTCGGAGAAGGGACTTGCTCAAGGCCACCCCAACTGGTGGGCAGCCGGCGGGGATTAGAACCCGGCTCTTGGCTCGCTCGCTCAGAACCCCGGGGCAAGGACTACACTTGCTGATGCCAAGAGGAGCTCTCTTCATTCTCCGGACCTGGAACGGTTAATCCTTAACCCCTCCTCCCCCCGCAACCCGCCCCCTCGAAGGGACCACTCACCCCAGCCAGCAGCAACAGGAGGGTCAGCGAGGTCAGCCTGGAGGCCATCTGGGCGGCGGCGTCAGCCCGGACCTGCGGAGCCAGCCAGCGTCGTAATCAGAGCCCAGCCCTGAAGCCCTGGGGGCTTCCACCCCGCCGCACCTCCCACCCACCCTGGGCCCGCCCCCATTCCATTCCCGGCCTTAGTCCCTCAGCGCGAATTCCCTCCTCCGGCTCCTCCTCCTCTCCCAGGCTCCTCCCCCTGTTTTGTTTTCCCCAAACCGCTCCCCTTTCCCGGCACCGGCTGGCCCTTCCTTCCCCCTCCCAAGCTCGGGTCTCCATCCATCTGTTCATCCAGAGTCCGGCTTTAAAGCCTAACAATGACGCTAGAGGCAGGGGGAGCAGGGGAGGGCCAGACGGGGCTGGGCACCAGCTCTGGCGGGAGCGGGAGGGGGGAATAGAAAGGGGCACTGAGGGGAGAGGGGTACCAGGAGGAGGGGTACCGGAGTCTTCAGTGGAAGCAAGCCTATAGAAACTTTAGAGATTAAAAAAAAGGGGGGAGGGGCAGGAAACCAGGAAGGGAAAGAAGACGAAGACACCCCACTCCCACCCACCCCCGCCCGCACCCCCACCCCCCATCACCAAATCTGCTCCAAACTCCTGGTCGCTGGGCAGCTTCAGTGCAGACTGAGCGGATAGTCCCGCAGGGTCAGGGAGGTGGGGTGCGTGGTGGGGTCGGTCTTGGCTATTGGCTGGCCCAGGACACTGCCCAGTTACAAATTAAGGATGATTGATCGCTGCTGTGACTTCCCGTAAACGGGGATGGGACGGACCACTCTGGTCAGGCTTCGTGGGCCGGGCCAGATTTCAGCCCAGAGCCCCTGGGGAGCCCTGGGGTGGAGAAGCTTGGGTGCAAGTAAGTTCTCAGCTCCACACACCCAAAACTCCTCTTCCGTCTTCATGGGTCCTGATGAAACTGCAAGGACACAGAATATGCTCCATAGTTTA